GTTCAGGTTTAATACTAATCTTGATGGTAGAGGGAGCGTGCAATGTTTGATCACATCAAACTTGAAACACTTCCAACACATATCGTCAGCTCACCTTTAGCTAGTCTCCGTTTATTCCGTAGCTCTTTTATTTTGAGTTACTAACACTTAGCAACCAAACCGGTATCTTAATACCCTGGTGCTACTAGGAGTACTAGTAAAGTACACATTAACATAATGTATATCCAATATACTTCTATCGACCTTGCCAGCCTTCTTATCTACCAAGTATCTAGGGTAATTCTGCTCCAGTGGCTGTTCCCCTTATTATAGAAGCACTTAGTCTCGGGTTTGGGTTCAACCTTGGGTTTCTTCACTAGAGTAGCAGCTGATTTGCCGTTTCATGAAGTATCCCTTCTTGCCCTTGCCCTTCTTGAAACTAGTGGTTTCACCAACCATCAACAATTGATGCTCCTTCTTGATTTCTACTTTCGCGGTGTCAAACATCGCGAATACCTCAAGGATCATCATATCTATCCCTAATATGTTATAGTTCATCACGAAGCTCTAGCAGCTTGGTGGCAATGACTTTGGAGAAACATCACTATCTCATCTGGAAGATCAACTCCCACTCGATTCAAGTGATTGTTGCACTCAGACAATCTGAGCACAAGCTCAACGATTGAGCTTTTCTCCCTTAGTTTGCAGGCTAAGAAAATCGTCGGAGGTCTTATACCTCTTGACTTGGGCACGAGCCTGAAATCCCAATTTCAGCCCTCGAAACATCTCATATGTCCCGCGATGTTTCGAAAAACGTCTTTGGTGCCTCAACTCTAAACCGTTTAACTGAACTATCACGTAGTTATCAAAACGTGTATGTCCGATGTTCGTAACATCCACAGACGACGTTTGGGGTTCAGCACACTGAGCAGTACATTACGGACATAAGCTTTCTACTGTCTGCATAATCGCTACTGTCAACTTTCAACTATATTTTCTCTAGGAACATATCTAAACAGTGGAACTAAAGTGCGAGCTTACGATATAATTTGCAAAGATCTTTTGACTATGTTCAGGATAATTAAGTTCATCTCATGAACTCCCACTCAGATAGACATCCCTCTAGTCATCTAAGTGATTACATGATCCGAGTCAACTAGGCCGTGTCCGATCATCACGTGAGACGGACTAGTCATCATCGGTGAACATCTTCATGTTGATCGTATCCTCCATACGACTCATGCTCGACCTTTTGGTCTCTTGTGTTCCGAGGCCATGTTTGTACATGCTAGGCTCGTCAAGTTAACCTAAGTGTTTCGCGTGTGTAAATCTGGCTTACACCCGTTGTATGTGAACGTAAGAATCTATCACACCCGATCATCACGTGGTGCTTCGAAACGACGAACTTTCGCAATGGTGCACAGTTAGGGGGAACACTTTCTTGAAATTTTAATGAGGGATCATCTTATTTACTACCGTCGTTCTAAGCAAACAAGATGTATAAACATGACAAACATCACATGCAACCAAAAAATGACATGATATGGCCAATATCATTTTGCTCCTTTTGATCTCCATCTTCGGGGTTCCATGATCATCATCATCACCGGCATGACACCATGATCCATCATCATGATCTCCATCATCGTGTCTCCATGAAGTTGTCTCGCCAACTTATTACTTCTACTACTATGGCTACCGGTTAGCAATAAAGTAAAGTAATTACATGGCGTTGTTCAATGACACGCAGGTCATACAATAAATTAAGACAACTCCTATGGCTCCTGCCAGTTGTCATACTCATCGACATGCAAGTCGTGATTCCTATTACAAGAACATGATCAATCTCATACATCACATATCATTCATCACATTCTTTTTGGCCATATCACATCACATAGCATACCCTGCAAAAACAAGTTAGACGTCCTCTAATTGTTGTTTGCATGTTTTACGTGGCTGCTATGGGTTTCTAGCAAGAACATTTCTTACCTACGCAAAAACCACAACGTGATATGCCAATTGCTATTTACCCTTCATAAGGACCCTTTTCATCGAATCTGTTCCGACTAAAGTGGGAGAGACTGGCACCCGCTAGCCACCTTATGCACCAAGTGCATATCAGTCGGTGGAACCTGTCTCACATAAGAGTACGTGTAAGGTCGGCCCGGGCCGCTTCATCCCACAATACCGTCGAAACAAGATTGGACTAGTAAAGGTAAGCATATTGAACAAAATCAATGCCCACAACTACTTTGTGTTCTACTCGTGCATAGAATCTACGCAATAGACCTAGCTCATGATGCCACTGTTGGGGAACGTAGCAGAAATTCAAAATTTTCCTACGAGTCACCAAGATCTATCTATGGAGAAACTAGCAACGAGAGAGAGGGGAGTACATCTACATACCCTTGTAGATCGCTAAGCAGAAGCGTTCAAGAGAACGGGGTTGAAGGAGTCGTACTCGTTGTGATCCAAATCACCGGAGATCCTAGTGCCGAACGGACGGCACCTTCGCGTTCAACACACGTACAGCCCGGTGACGTCTCCCATGCCTTGATCCAGCAAGGAGAGAGGGAGAGGTTGAGGAAGACTCCGTCCAGCAGTAGCAGAACGGCGTAGTGGTGGTGGAGGAGCGTGGCAATCCTGCAGGGCTTCGCCAAGCACCGCGAGATATGAGGAGAAAGAGAGGTAGGGCTGCGCCAACAGGAGAAGAACTTTGTGTGTTAGGCTGCTCCTTTGCCTCCACTATATATAGGGGGAGAGGGGGGGCTGCGCTCCCACCTAGGTTTCCACCCCTAGGGGCGGCAGCCAGCCCTAGATCCCATCTAGGGGGCGGCCAAAGGGGGGAGAGGGGGAAACTTGCCCCCCAAGTCAGGTGGAGGCGCCCCCTCCCCAAACCCTAGGCGCCTTGGGCCCTTGTGGGGGGCGCACCAGCCCACCTGGGGCTGGTCCCCTTCCACACTTGCCCCATGCAGCCCTTCGGGGATGGTGGCCCCACTTGGTGGACCCCCGGGACCCTCCCGGTGGTCCCGGTACGTTACCGATAAAACCCAAAACTTTTTCGATGACCAAAACAGGACTTCCCATATATAAATATTTACCTCCGGACCATTCCGGAACTCCTCGTGACGTCCGGGATCTCATCCGGGACTCCTAGCAATATTCGGTAACTACATACAAACTTCCTTTATAACCCTAGCATCATCGAACCTTAAGTGTGTAGACCCTACGGGTTCGGGAATCATGCAGACATGACCGAGACATTCTCCGGTCAATAACCAACAGCGGGATCTGGATACCCATGTTGGCTCCCACATGTTCCACGATGATCTCATCGGATGAACCACGATGTCAAGGACTCAATCGATCCCGTATACAATTTCCTTTGTCTAGCGGTATTGTACTTGCCCGAGATTCGATCGTCGGTATGCCGATACCTTGTTCAATCTCGTTACCGGCAAGTCTCTTTACTCGTTCCGTAACACATCATCCCGCGATCAACTCTTTGATCACATTGTGCACATTATGATGATGTCCTACCGAGTGGGCCCAGAGACACCTCTCCGTTTACACGGAGTGACAAATCCCAGTCTCGATTCGTGCCAACCCAACAGACACTTTCGGAGATACCTGTAGTGCACCTTTATAGCCACCCAGTTACGTTGTGACGTTTGGTACACCCAAAGCATTCCTACGGTATCCGGGAGTTGCACATTCTCATGGTCTAAGGAAAAGATACTTGACATTAGAAAAGCTTTAGCATACGAACTACACGATCTTTGTGCTAGGCTTAGGATTGGGTCTTGTCCATCACATCATTCTGCTAATGATGTGATCCCGCTATCAACGACTTCCAATGTCCATGGTCAGGAAACCGTAACCATCTATTGATCAACGAGCTAGTCAACTAGAGGCTTACTAGGGACATGGTGTTGTCTATGTATCCACACATGTATCTGAGTTTTCTATCAATACACTTATAGCATGGATAATAAACGATTATCACGAACAAGGAAATATAATAATAACTAATTTATTATTGCCTCTAGGGCATATTTCCAACAATCCTCCTACTGCACTGACGCTGCAATGGCGCACACACTGCACTTCGTCGCCCCGCCGACGGGGTCGATCATCTTGGCCTCCTCTCTCTCGTCCTACTACACTGGAGTCGTCTCCAGCGTCGATCATCTCGACCTCCTCTCTCATCCACTGCACTGATGGTACCATGGCGCGAGCACTACATTCTCCTCCTCTGTCGACTGTCTTTGCGCAAGCACCGCAACTAGTTCGCCAACGGTGTCGCTCGTTGTGCCGCCGACGGGGTCGCTCGCCCACGACTCCATGCTCGTCATGTCGGACACAGCGCCACAGCCACTATCTACCGCAGTTGCCATGGTCCGGCGCACACTGCATTTCTTCTTCCCCTTCCTCTGCTAGTTCTTAACCTTGTGTGCTAAGTGCAAGTGCTAGCTCGTAATCATATCTCATGCGGGCAACCAAACAACGTGTAGTTGTATGCGCCGAGACAATGCAGGCAACCAAACAACGTGCCAAAAACAATCCCCTAATGCAGGAAGTCCATATGCAAGCAACCAAACAACTTGCAGATGTCGCATATGAGGCTGTTTTTTTAAAGCCAGACTGGGTTAAGATGTGTATACAATGCAGCTACTATTCAATACTGCAACCAAACACGCCATAGGCAAGGCAACACCGCCGAGTAAGTACAAAAGAAAGAGGAGAGGAAAAGGACGAGAGAAAATTGAGAAACCCCAGCAAGAAAAGGAACAAAAGCTGAAGTAACGGACGTCAAAGCATTGTCCAAAGTCAGTTCACACCAACAACAATGCATCTCTAACCTCCCTTCTCTCCCCTCCCCTCTCTCTCTCTCTCTTCTTAACCAACCTCCCCACCCTTTTTCCTCGCTTCAAATCCTCTTCTCCCCCTTCCCTTCCTCCTCGCCCCCGAGAAGCTCACGCATCCCAACTCTAACCATACGCAAACGCAAGGCTTCAATGGAGCCGTGCACCAAGCAGTTCCTCCCCATGCCTCCTCAGGACCCCAACTCCCCGTCGTCGTCCACCTCCTCTTCCTCCTCCTCCTCCACCTCGCCGTCTCACCCCTACCACCGCGCCCAGCCGCCACACCCACACAACCTTCCGCCCTCACCCAGGCCCGTCCCCCGCACCATCGAGACCACCCCGTTCCCCACCACCTTCGTCCAGGCGGACACCACCTCCTTCAAGCAGGTCGTCCAGATGCTCACCGGCTCCGAGCAGTCCTCCAAGAACGCCGCCGCGGCGACGACCTCCGCAGGCAACGGCAGCGCCGGGAACCAGGCGGCGAGCGGGAGCGGCCCGTGCCGCCCGAAGAAGCCGTCCTTCAAGCTGTACGAGCGGCGGAGCAGCCTCAAGAACCTCAAGATGATCGCGCCGCTGGCCATGGGGGCGCCGCCGTCGCCGAGGAACGCCTCCGCCGCGCCGGAGATCCTGTCCCCGAGCGTCCTGGACTTCCCGTCCCTCAAGCTCAGCAGCCCGGTGACGCCGCTCACCGGCGACCCCTTCTTCCCCTCGCCGGCGTCGTCCTCGGGGGATGCCGCCGAGCGCGCGGCCATCGCCGACAAGGGCTTCTTCTTCCACCCTTCGCCGCGGGGCGCCGAGCCGCCGCGGCTCCTCCCGCTCTTCCCCGTGAGCTCGCCCAGGATGGCCGCCGCGTCCGCGACGGCGGCGCCGGCCGAGTGAGTGACCCAAAGCCTCCGCCTTTGCGCGCGCATCCTGCTCAGCCAGCCATGAAGTAATCTACGACTTCTACCATCGCCACCGCCCTCGCTGTATCATCGCCGTCCTTTGGTCGCAGTTCTAGTTTCATACTGTAGTAGTAGCAAGGTGTTTGCTGTGTCGTTCTTCGCCGGCGCCGGCGCTGCTGTTGTAATTTTTGCTCCGTTCTTGAAAGGAAGAGGGGAGTTGGTTCTCTTTTGAGGTTGCGACTCGATTAATCGATTAATTACAGCTTATTTTCGACCTTCGTGTGCTAGTAGATCTTTTCCCAATTCTGATCTTCTTTCGGTTGCTGTTTGGAATTGGATTGATTCCCTCTGAACTTCATCGACCACCGCCGTTGGTGCGTCCAAGCTCATAAATACGGCCTTGTAATCTCGTGGGAAGGAGCAGTGCAGTGCATGTGAATACATATGGCCTGAATCTGCCTTAATTGTCCAAAATCCGGCGTTTGCTGCTGCAATCCAAGTGAGGTATTTGGAAACATGCCTCGAGTCTTCTTCTCTGGTATGCTCGCATCACACAGCATGACAGTATACTACAAGTAGTACACAAAATAGCATGGGAGTGATTCTTCTACTGCAAAAGCTCAAATTCTGCTGGCAAGCTGTGTGCTGCGTTTGGCACTTTTCAGTCCTGAACCAGCAGTCCTCGAGGCAGGATGTACTAGTACCTGGACTCATCTGCCCCGGAGGTAGTACAACACGAACAACGCCCCATGTTTTTCAGTGATTGACTCAGTAGTCCTTGATGTTGACATATTTGATCACAGCAAAATGTTGAAGTAAAACACACACCACCAGGAGGAGAGCATATTTCAAGGAAGGATTGGTGAAATAGGAGGGCAGAGATGCCACAGTAGTGCTGAGCCGGAGTGGTAGCGTGTGTGCGAGAAGTCTTGTTTGTTTGGGTTGGGGAGCCAAGCCGAGCCAGCGCACACTTGGTGGACATTCATACGCCCGGCCGGCCCGGCGTAAATCCTCGTTGGCCGCTTGCTGGTGCGTGCGTGATGAATCTTGTCAGGTGGCGGGGGGCATCTGCACAGGAGCTGGATTGGACGGGAGCGCGGGAGGGAGGGACGACACGGTAGGGTAGGGTAGGGTAGGGTCCGTCGTCTTAGCCGGGCCATTTCGGCGCGGTGCCATGTCCGCCGTGCGACGCACCCGCACCCACCCACCGGCCACGGTAGATCGGCGGTCGTCTCGCTCGATGGACTCCGCCGTCTAACCTTTTGTCCGGGGCCTTGTGAAAGGTCGCTGCAGCCTTGTTGGACTTATTATCGCGTTGCCTCACGCACCCGCCCTATCCAACACCCGCACACTACTCCACGCCCCACGGTTCATGATCATGATTGGAGTCTTGGACTGCTCAGAAAGCAGCAAGAGTGGACTGGTGGTGCACCGCTCCGTTTGCATAACCGCTGCTCGACGGTTACGAGTACAGTTGCTTCAAGATTGGGACTCCACTCCAGTGCTGCGTGTATGACCAAGACTCCGCGCAGTAGAGTACAACAGCGTTCAAGCTTGACTCACCACACCAGACTTAGGTGCGAGCCGCGCATATCACAAACGTCGACACGTGCGTACGTGCCACTTAGGCTTAGCACTAACCAAGGAAAAAAGAAGAGCCGGAATTTCATTTCATGGTCGCCAAAGGCTGCAGACAAGCGAAAAAACACAACGGAAGTGGGCAGGGATGGATGCTCGCCCGCCTTTCACGGGCGTGCTCTGGTCGACGTAGTCAAACGGACCCAACCGCGCGAGTATCTTAACGTGATTCTTTTTCTTTTCCGTTCCGTTGCTACGGTGCGGTGCATGTACCGCTTCGCTTTCGGCTTGTTTGTTCGACTTGTGCGCCACCCTAATTATCACCCTGTCTATGCCGAGCTGCTGCTACTATACTGTCCGCTGGTTTAATTAACCTGTGATGGATCGGATCGGAGCGCTCCCCCATGTTACTGCGTGTTCGTTCGTAGACTAAATAATCATGGTCATTAGTCCTTTCATGTGACGACGGTGCGGCAAAATTAAATTAAATTCGGCTTAAGCTTGGAGGGGTGCCATGTGACGCCATTAACTCCGCACAGCCATGCTACCACCCTTTATTAGGGTCAAATTTTGTACTGGTACTTCTACAGTGTATCTGTCTGTACTACTACCCTCCGTTTCAAAATAGATTACCCAACTTTGTACTAACTTTAATACAAAATTGGATAATCTATTTTTAAACGGAGAGAGTACTGGAGAGGGAAAAGTTCCCTAGAGCATGGACAGATCTATACGTAGTACTCCTATAGCCGAGAAATGGCGCCCAGCGACACCTGATGCACTCGCGTCTTGTCCAAGTAGTTTTGCTTTTTGAAGTGTCTTTGTTGCATGCACGTAGAAGAAGAAAAGAAGAGAAGTGTCTTGTCGACGATACTTTGTTGCCACGTACTCTAATACTCTTTCTGTAAAGAAATATAAAGTCATTTCGATCACCGTGAGTATTTCTTTACGGGAGGAGTAAAATTTACGAATATCGAGTCATCGCTCTGTTGGCCAACTATTCCGGCGACCCGATGTGAGCTCAGGAGCAAACGGCGACTAAGCTGAAGATGCACAACATAGGAGGAGGGGAAAAGGAAAAAGACAAGATGGACAACTTCGTCGTGGTTGCTTGGAGTCGATTGAATTTGTCAGCAAAGGCTGCAGTCCATTCATAGTCCATCCGTGACCAAGCGTATGGCGCTGCCTGCCAGCGCTGTGATCCGACAGCGACCATCGCGGCGTACCCATGGCACGTCGCATGCTGGGCTACGCGGGCACCTCGCTCTCCGCTGTCCGGTCGCAACAGCGGGCCGTACATACATATGGAGCAGTCGCCGGCGTCCCACTTGTCGGCTCCGGTGCATGCATACGGCGCATCGCCGGATGGTGCTTGCACGCAATATAAGTTTACCACGCAGATACAGGTCTTATAACGTACGTACTGGGCCAGCTGAATACGGCGCAGCTATCTCCTATGGCGCCGAGTTGCTTCGAACTTCAAGCTTTGATGTATCTTTTCTCCATCATCACGCTGACCTCCTGTGTCATTTGGAAGCACCGGAACGCTATCATGTTCGACGGCCTACACCCCTCCACTGACGACCTTTTACTCTCGATCAAGGATGATGCTCACCTCTGGGCCGAGGCGGGCGCTAAGGGATTAGCCACCATTTTACCCGTAACCTGAACTTTGTGTATTGAGGCTGAGCATCCTCCCACTTGTTCTTGCAACCTTCCAAACGCCTGTTCGTGTACGTCGGCGATGTGGGACCTTGTCCTTTTTTTTTTCTATCAATGAAATGGTACGCTGCTCAGCCTTTTGTACGTACGTACTGTATACTAGTACTATACTAGCATCGCGAGTTGCTTTCAGTCCCCTTTTCCTCCCTACTCCTTAACCTGAATTCTGTCGAGTTATTACTGGAATCATCTCTACGTATTTTCGGGTCCACAGGTTAACAGACGCAGGCAGCGACAAAACTGCAGTCTGGCGGTCGTTGGCACGCTATTGATTCCAAGCATGTCCATTTCCGCAAGTACCGTGGCGGTAGTGACGGGTTCATAGCCGGGCGAATGGGAGGCCGAAATGAGCGAGGAAGAGAACGCTCGCCGGCCAGCCGCGCCTTGAGGTCATCGACCGGTGGTGGTGAAAAAGTTGACTCTTATTTTGGGTGTACGAATTCATGGACCCTATGCGAAGCAGATCAACCTGACCTCGCCACGTACAAGTTTGATATTCGCCGTGCGGTGTAGCGTCCCAGTTTACTAGTTAGATCCAGCGAATGAACAAACGACTCCTGGTCTACTACTATTCACGTCGACTGCCCAAGAGCATCTACAGCCACGATGGTGTAATTCAGCCTCTCAAACGTTCACGGATGCGCCCAAACTGACCAAGCACGCCCCATATTTCGCTCTTCACATCTCTGTATCTCTTATCTGACATCTCACATCCATATTATACATGCAACATGGGCTACTCTATGTGATCAAAGAATTGGCTGCAAACAGACAACAAAATCGACTGCAAACGGACATTAAACGAGCTTGGCATCTGTCAGCACCACTGACATGCCAGACCCGCAGCCCACTGGGCCGGAAGGAGACCAGCCCCAGCGCGCGCCCAAGCCCAACCCCCGCGTCTATGGGCCAGACTGGACCAGGTGAAGCCCAAGGCGTCCACTACTTAACGAAGGCAAGGAAGGAAGCCAAGCCATCGAGTGGATCACGGCGGTGGCACCGGCTCTCTCCCCGTTCCCCTTTTCTGTATGAACCCTAGATCGATTCGAGGCCAAGTGTAATCGCTACCACTCTGTAATTGCTACCATTCTATACTCTTGAGAGATCGTGCTAGTGGAATATACAGATCCTATCCCTGCTCCTAACACTTGGTATCAGAGACCAAACACCACCCTCCCGTCGCGCGATCTGGCCCAATTCATCGAAACCCATCGTCTTCGCCAAGCTCGGAACCAAATCGAAGCCATGGATCCGACCATGAAGGAGTACATGGACAGGATCACAAGCTCCATGGAGGAGTTTCGGGTGGAACTCCGCGGCAACACGGCGGCGATCCACGCGAACACCGCCAAGCTGGACGATCTGGCGGCCTGGCAGCCCGGTCTGGAGCGCCGCGTCGACCAGCTCGCCGATGCAGTAGCGGATCTGCAACACGGGCGCCTGCCTGCAGCGGCAGCGTCTGGTGTGGCGGCCAAGGAGACCAACGCCCCCGCTCCAAGCATGGACACGGGCAACGCGGCGGTCTCGCAGCCACACGGGTCAAAGGACCACAACGACACATTTCTTCACTGGGAGAAGGTGCTGGCGACCCCGCCGGCACCACTCCCGGGCACTGGTCAGTTTACTTCCCAGTCGCCCGCTCCTCCCCTGTCCCCCTTCGCTCATGCGAGCCAGCTCCTGGCCGGATTGGGTCAA